TATGTCCCAAGAATGGCCTAGTTTCTGACTATACTTAGTCAATGACTCCTTTAAGAAGGTCACCTTTGCCCTTGTACCCATCTACCTTTCAACAGATCCATGCAAACCTGAAATAGCACTTTTGCCAGTGTAACTGAGAAGACTTATCCATGAAGAACATCTGAACAAAAATTCCATTCCTAAGAGAGCTGTTACACATTTCCCAGCCAGCTGTTATTTCATGAGATCAGCTGCTGTGGTCTATAGAACCATTTAGCAGCTTCAGTGAAAGTACAGCTTCATCTTTGTTTGCAGCTATGGGTTTCATTTTCAGTCCCTGGAGGACAAATAGTTCATATAATTCTCGCCACCAGCACAACAACCAAGTTTGTCACACACTTATTGCCACATCAGTACACACTTCTGGAGATGAGCCATAGAAAGTCTTATAAATGAAAAATGAAACACTCTTCTGAGCAAAATGGAAAAATAATCAATCATACCCTCTGTCACAGTGTTGTACACAGTGGAAATCATGCCCACATGTCCACTCTGCCATGATAAATTTCACTGGCTAAAGAAGCCAGAGCACCTGCAGCTAAGGAGGAAAATAGACTGGGATTTCCATTCCTAGTTATAAACTGGCTGGCTGTATCAATGTGCACATTTAAATCTAGATAATGAATAAAATAATAGAACATGACAGTGAAAAATATGTTTCCAGAATAAGAATTTAATTTCTCCTTTTACTATGGACACAGTTGAAAATATACATAAAATCCACAGCTTCTTGCACATAAGCACACTTGCTTCAGATCAGACTATCAATTCAATATGAATTTGAAAGACTGGGAGGTAGCATGGTCCATATCAGGAATTACAGGGCATGCCAAACAATTGGGAAACCTGGGTTACTAACTAATGAAACATGTTTCAAACAACACAGGGAGAATTTACATGTTAAAATTACTCAAGCTAAATTAGCATACCAGGTACCCTTTAAACTTATTATAAAGAAATAAGTCTATTTAATCTAAAGTACAGAAGGAACTTTTGTGGCACTGTAGTTGATGGAATTCTTTTGGGTGCTACCTAAAGTCCAGAGATGTTTTTAAATATCATTAGGAAAGGTACTGAAAACAGACAATATCCCTTTAGATTGTCTACGAAATTGCTAGAAAGGTAATTAACATTGAGCTTTAGAGCATAAAATACAGATTGAATTGACATGATTTGTTTGGCCTTGCAAATTCACAACCTTCTTACCCCACCCACAAGAGACAATAGGATTCTTAAGCATATCCAAGAAAGAGAATGCAAGTGATGATCAAAACAAACCAAGTGGTGAAATCCTTTAAAATTAGCAGATCAGCAAAATAAAAGAAAGTCCTACTTGATAAGAGAAAGAGAAGCAGTGTTTTGGAGAGAATGGGAAGTGGCCTTGCATGGATAAAGATCGTGGGAGCACAAGCAGTTCCATTCTACTTCAGAGAAGAAAACTTTCAATACAAATATGAAATACTGGGCGAAATTCACGCTAGTGCAACCCCTGCACTAAGCCCCTTCACTCCAACATAGTGACACCCAAGGTGAGTTTGACCCAATTATTTAAAAATTACACAATCACTAGGGTTGCCAGGTGTCCGTCATTGGCCCGGGCAGTCCGGTATTTTCAGCCTCTGTCCAGTAAAATGTCCGGTATTTTCTGTTTTTCTCGGATGGAAGGGCGCTTGGGACATTCTTCCCCTGCCACGTCTGGCAGGGCTAGGGTGAGCAGAGAGCGTGGGGATTTAAAGTCGCAGCGGTTCTTTTTTTGTGTGGTGGGGTGGTTTTTTTGCTCAACTAATTTTTCCCCCTCCATGTTTGGTATTTTTTGTGAAAGTATCTGGCAACCCTAACAGTCATGTTAAAAAAAGGCATAAATTAAACTGACCTTTCTGCCACTAAGGCCCATTTGAGCCAGATACTTATGAATATGCCTAATTTCACCTACATGTATAAAGTTAGACATATTCTTGAAGACTTTGCTGAATTTATGTCACAATTTTCTGTGAGCAGAAGACTGAGAAATACTGTTTAGAATTACACATTATTTTCAAATGCAGTTTGAAGTTCATAACACACATTGAGAGTTTGTTCATAGCACTCAGAAGTTTACAGTGTTGAGTAAAATCAGTTGTTTGCCTGAATTATAAGGCCTGCGACAGCTACAGAAAGTGAACAGCAAACTGCATGAAGCAGATGTAGAGTAGCTATAGAAACCAGAGTTGATACAAAACAAATAAACATGGGCCATTACCTACAATTTGTTTCACGTTCCTTCAACTGCTTCATAACATCTGTTCTAAGCTGCCTTGTAAGGAGAGCTGTGAAAATGTTGAACACAAATACTGCTGAATGAAGAATAAAGTCATTTCAGATTAAATGATGCTAAAAGAATACCAAAATGTGCTACCAAAGAAACTTAATGAGGGATGCTGTGGATCCCAAAGCAAAAACGCAACTTAATGGTACATGTTACTAACAGCTTTAAAACTTAACTAAAAAGCAAATTATGAAGAGGTTTGTATGGTTTTTGCTCCTTGGCAGTGTATAATGTCTTCTCCAAAGATTTTATTTTTCCCCAAAATCTGTTCTCCACTTTAAAATTATTTTGGGAATAGGTATGGCTGGGGGAAGTAGCACTTGGATTTCATCCTCTTCCAATCAATCAACCTCTCTCTCTCTCTCTCTTCCCTTCCCTCCTCCCCCAAAAGGACTTGCAGCAAAATATGGCACATTTCAGTTGGGAAAACAAGGGAAGGTCCTAGAAATAAAGAGATGTTAGAAATAACTAAGTATGTCTTTATTTTAAAAAGGAGTAAGAGGTATTCTCCATGCCTGGCTCCCTCGCTACTTACCAGACTTTCCTGGAACTCTTTCCTCCAAAACAGAACAAGAAGAGCTACTATTTCCAATTCAAAGCCCATACTCTGTTTTCATTGGCTCTCTTGGCCTTCTGCCAACTCACTTCCTGCTTCCCTAAACATTTCTGAGACTCTGCAGGATTTGTTGTCTATGGTTAGCTATTTCAGGAAAGGCAAATTAGGGTTAAGTTTCAAGAGTTAACAACCACTGAGAAAAGATTTTAGCTGACTGAATGGCTGGAACATCCAGAAGATTGTGCCCCCTCCATTCACCGGGGAGAGAGGAGAAAAGATCTGAATATGATGTAAAGAGAGAGTTCCATGGAAGGATGCAAAGCTTTGGGTGAGGCCCATCTCCAGAAATAGATGAGTGGGAAGGAGAATGTACCAGCACTCAGGGACTATGCTAACATTCAAGTAGTGAAATGTTCTACTGTAGTAGCAGAATAAGTATGTTTTTCACCAGTAGCAGGTATAGTTAATGGCACATTTTGCATGTCCTATGCCATTAATTTCAATCAGATAATTCTCAAACACCTGTGTCTAGTTTAGATAATGATTTCTTTCTGGGGGAAGTGGGTAAAGGAGAAAACATTGTTACAACAATGGTCTGAATTCTAAATCCTGGATTTTTAGCACATAAGGAAGGAAAATAAAATAGATGTTGATAGATTAACAAATATTTTATCACTTGAATGTGTCAATTAGACTTCTCTATTGTGCTATGTCTTGGGCACCCCCTATTAAACTTCCTCTGAAAATCAAACCCCTAGAACACAGGCATGTAAAGTATTTATGTAGAACACCAATGTTAAATTTCAAAATATGACATTTTAACTAGCAGTTCATCTAGTTCACCATTAAAATACATTTTCATTGAATGGTCTAAGATTTTTGTATCAGAACAGAAAATTAAAAAGTCTGATTGTGTTACGTTAGTACTCAAAAGTCCCATTGTGCTAGGCAATGTGCATACACATAAAAAGAGACAGCCCTTCTTCCGGAGAGATTACAGTTTAAATAAACACAACAAAAGGGTAGGGGAGGAAGGAAGTGTTATCCCCATTTTACAGATGGAAAACAGAGACACAGCAGTTTCAAATCCTGCAGAGACTTTCAAAGATGAGTAACTTTATGCACCTAGTAGCCCTGTTGAACCTAGTTCTAGATCAGTATTTCTCCAAGTGGGCTGCAGGCCATTTGGGGAAAGCTGCTGGTGGACCTGCGACAATTTGTTTACTTAAGGCTATGTAGCCACTGAGCTTATCGGCTCCCATCAGCTGGAAACAGTGAACCAGAGCCAAAAGGAGCTGCGGGAAGCAATGACCTGGGTCATACCACTTTCCGCAGTTCCCCTTGGCTAGAAACAGTGAACTGGAGCCAATGGGAGCCACAAGACTACATGGCTATGGAGCCTTTAGGTAAACAAAGTAGGGCAGGTCAACGAGCAGCTTTCCCAAAATGGATCCACAGCCCACTCTGAGAAACATTGTTCTAGAGACAGTGGTTACAGTGGGCCTACCCACAGCTTGTAAAGTCCAACACCTGCAAAGACTTATTCATGATTAGGACCTAAATGATTTAGCCAATTGTTACATTACTCAGGTTACTATCCAGACTATTGAATGTGTGTCACTTTAGTCTGCTGTACTAGTGAACAGACATTCTTGGCTAGTTAACACACAGCCTCTAGTATGTAACTTGCGCCCAGCTGCACAGTACCAAGTGCTACTAGTTAGCCACCCTTGAATTCCACTTAAGAACACCAGCATATTCCTTGTCCCCTAAAAGTATGCATCTTGTATTGCTCATTACATTACTGAATGACATAAGCTCATATAAAGTCCATCATTTTATCAATAGACAATGGAAAATTATATGCACCTGCCTTTTTGTCCCAAATGGATCTGCCCCACACACTTTAATCCAAAACATACTCGTTAAGATAATAAACTTGTTTTATTTGCTTACCTGTAGCAACTTAAAATCTCTCTTCTTTCTGTAGGTAATCAGACAAAAGTGTCAGGATTAGTTACAAAAGAAATAAAATATAATATTTATCTTAACAAGCTCAAATGAACTCAGAAGCAAAAGGTCCCTCACCATAAGGTTACAACCGTCTCTACCGACTGAAAAGCCTCTCAGACAGGTGCCTTCACCTAAGAGGTTTCCTTTGTCTTTCAAGCAGTGTAGCTGCTATGAAGAGAGATTTGGGAAAAAGGTAATTTTTCTGTGTGTGTATGTCCCCTCCATCCTTATGCCCTTCTCCCCTATTTGATGATTACCTGTAGCTGGGATTCAGGTGACTTGCAATCTGTTTATGTGGAAACCCCTTTCTGTGTCTTTGCCAATATGTAAACTCTTCACTCGTACCCTTCTTCCTGCTAAGAAAAGATCGTTTAACTAAGTGATTGTCTAGTTGATTGTGCTGATACCTGGATGGGGCTGCCAGTGTGTCTTTGTCTATAAAGAACTGTTTTGAGCCTGCCTCTCTAAGGCTGTGTCCAGACTCAGGGGTTTTTTCGGGAAAAGTAGCCTTTTCCCGAAAAAACTTCCCCTGCGTCCAGACTCAAGCCGCGTTCTTTCGAAATTATTTCGAAAGAACGTGGCTTTTCTTTCGATGGCAGTAAACCTCGTTTCACGAGGAAGAACGCCTTCTTTCGAAAGTTCCTCTTTCGAAAGAAGGCGTTCTTCAATGTAAATAGGGCTTCTTCAAAAGAGAGCATCCAGACTCGCTGGGTGCTCTCTTTCGAAAAAGCGGATTGCTCTTTCGAAAGATCCGCCTGCAGTCTAGACGCGATCTTTCGAAAGAGGCTCTTTCGAAAGATGCTTTCGAAAGAGCTTCTTTCTAAAGAAGCCTGCAGTCTAGACATAGCCCAACAGTAGAAGATGTTACAAGAATTTTATGTAGTAGAAATGTATAACAATACACACATTTCACCAGGACAATAATGTTCAGAAGAATATGAGTTTTCAAATGAAATGTCACAAGAAATATTTTGTACAAAATGTATCATGATCTTATAAAAAGTGGTGACCGTAGTAGCATAGTCCACTACATCCATGTCCGTGGCAGAGTTAGGAACCGAACCCAGATTTCCTGAATCAGATCAGAAGTAGATTGGGAAACAGTTAGTAGTAGTAAATGCTCAGGCATAATATTCTGACATAAATAAACAAGGAGGATGTGCACAAGATGTGAATAGAGGAAGTGATCACTTCTTAAGAGCTGTTTTGGGGATTATCAATGTAGCAGTTCTGTCCCTTGTGAGTAGCTATAGATGACCGACTGGAATTCAACACAAAAATACATATTAGTACTTGGACAACAAGAGTATTGCAAGGCATAAGTAAGGCACATAAGCATTTCCCTGATTGCCTTAAAGGACAAAGGGTGCAACTGCCCAAGGACCCAGTGATTTTAAAGGGCCCAGGTCTCCAGGACCCTGCTACTGAGGCAGCAGTAACAGCCAGAGCATCGCATGGCATGGTCTGGATGGTTCTGAGAGCTAGGTTAGTGAGGAATGGCACAGTCTGGGTGGCAGTGAGGGCTGGCTGCCCCTCCGCCCCCCATTCCACCTGAGGCTCCATGCTTTCCCTCCTCCACATTGCCCAACGCCCTGAAAAGTCTGTTGCCAGCTGTTTCTGTTGTACCAACTTCTTCTCTCCAACTTCAGTGCTGCTAATTTTCATAATATTGGGGTTTTTTCTTACAGTCTCAGATGCTGAATCAATAGATCAAGAGAGCGCTAAATGCTCTGAAAGCAGGAAGCGCATTTTGTCTTTTTATTCACTAAATAAAACCTCATGATTTTAAACCATTTTTATATTTGGGCCTCACTCATTTTTGAATGCTTTTGACAATACTACACTTTACACCTACGCTGCAAGCTCCTTGGGGTGGGTATTCTCTTTTCATGATATGCTTGCACAATGAGTTTAGTGCATCTAAATGCTATATGTGGCCTGCTAATTATGATAGGTTCAAACATGCTAGATTGCCTCTAAACACATTGTTCACCCCTGCACCCAGAATGCTGCTGTATACGATAAGCTTTCTGCACAAACACAGCATTGTAGTACTCATATCTGACAGGGAGAAGCTAAAAGAAACCTACCAGGACTCATAATCTAAATGGGAGACAGTTGTGCTGTAAAACAAGATATAATGACACAAAAGCATTTAAAACTCTTTTATACTAGTGGTAAAAATAAATATCCTTGGGATGGCACTGTAAGTTACATATAGCTTTCAGTCAGATCACGACACATTGAACTCTGGACTTTCTATTCAATTTAGAATTAGTTTGTAATGATTTTGTGAGAGCTGCTGAAGTATTTCTGTTCATTTGTGGTAAGTAGTTATATAAAGTCACTTTTCCATTTTTAAAAACCACAGTGTGGGATTTGAATACAGTATGGCTACCACAAAAAATGTAATGATGTGCTTCATTCAGTATGTGCACATTATGATTATCATTGACATGTCAAAAAACACATATTATTAGTCGTTATCAAGCAAGAAAAATAAGCTGAAAATTGGTATAGATAAACTGATGGGAAGAAACTAATTGTTCACCCCATGTTTTAATTCTGTAAAATGAGGTGTTATTTTCATTATTTCTTGACTTCGGTTACCTCTGCAGAGACACTGTGTCATTGATCTACTAGGAATTTAACAAGCATATTCTGAGTTTAAACTGAAATTCAGAGCCCACTTTCCAGATTTCCCCAAGGATAGACCATCAGCTATTATTCAATGCAACATATTTCAAATTACAAGTATTGCATTATTGCTAAAATGTCCCTTCTGCCTGAAACTTCTCTTATCAGTTTCAGAGGGTAGCCATGTTAGTCTGTAACTGGAAAAATTTAAAAAACAACAAAGAGACTTGCAGCACCTTAGAGACTAACAAAAATGTAGATGGTATCATGAGCTTTCATGGGCACAGCCCATTTCTTCAGAATAGATACACCCATCATACTTTTGTTGGTGAAAAATATTAGAGATGGAGGAAAGTGGTCAGAAACAATCGAGAAAGTGGTCAGACAGCTTTTTTATTATTATTATATAAATCTTAAAAATAAGGGAAGAGAAAAAGTTTTGATGATTTGGTTAGCAAACCTTCCACAAAACGTATAGAACAGGAACATTGTTTAACAATAGTTGAATAACTGATGGCAGAAGGATCCCATGGGAGTGATTCTGTGGTTGTGTACATCCATCTCCATGCTACACTTTAATTGTTCCTAAGAGAGCTGCAAATGTGGCAGATTAGACCATTCAGAAAGACAGCTCAATTGCTGTTGTGCAAGAGTCTTGGGAGCCAGAATTGACAGTTTTAACAATTTTTCTTACCTTTTTTCTTTGGATCTCTATGACAGAAGAAAATGTAAGCTATGTAACACTGCTTCTTTGATGTCATTGCACCTGTGTCATGCAGGTGTGTGTTGAAGGTTGGGATTAAGCAGATGTTGGCTATTCCCCCTTCTACCGCCTCAATTTAGACCAGGGCTACTTAACACGCAGCCCGCAGGCCACATGCAGCCCACAGCCCGTTTGTTTGTGGCCCGTGATGCGGTTTGGGTACATGCGGCCTGCAGGTGGGAGCCAAAACAAAAAAGGAGTCAATATAATGGTCTTCTGTTGATATGCATTTTAGTAGTTAAATTCCTGGAATGTCATTGCTCATTAAAAGTGCTGTCATATGGGTGGATATCGGGTAAATATTGCATTTTATTAATATCAGCAGAACTGACTTAAATGGGGCCTGCATGTTGTGTAGTCTTGCCTTAATCTTTGTATTCATGCCAGTCAGTGTGAAAGAAGCTATTTGCATATATTTGTATATATATATAAAACCACACTTAAGTTGCGGCCCTCGGCATGTGCTGTGATTATCATTGTGGCCCCCAGAGCTTCCAAAGTTGAGTAGCCCTGCATTAGACCCTAATCCTCTGGTTTCAAAAGCAGTTAACAAAATAATGTTTTCCTCAAATATAGGATTAGGTCTGAAGAGAAGAGAGCAGAAGGGAAAAGGTGAAAGGAGTAGGTTAACTGTAAAAAAGCCAGGCCTTTCATGATTTATATCTATGGAAGGGATCTATTCATGCAAACATTCTGCCTTTTTCCTTCCAAAAAAGATAAAGTTGTTTTGGACAATCACTGAATCATAGTCAACAGTGATTCTCTCCATCATGAAACAAACATTATTTGTCAATAATGTCTTGACTTGCTAGCTAGTTCCTGACTACGCAAATATGGTAGAAATAAAAGGTAATGCCCAAACAGGGATACATTTTTGGTTACAAAATACTGTTTGATCACTATTTCCATTTGAATGGTTCTTTTCACTGCAATTCCCCCCTCTCCTTCCCAAAAATTACTTTATAGGAAATTATGCATGTTAAGAATCACTGATAATTACTTCCTACCAATTCTAAACTGTTTAAATCAGTTATCGAGAGGTGGTAGTCTCTATATACTATATAATAATTCTAATCTCCTAAACCTCCCAGTCCACTCCCTGGAGGTTCTCAACTTAAATTTTAAGAATTAGGCTTTCATAATGTTTCTCATTAACTACACTTTATGCAAAACCATTATTAAAAACTTTACACATAAAACTGGTATACCATAGAGGATTTTTATAATGCAAAGTTTTTGTGAATCTTAAAATATTTCAAGACTTTGACTTTATTTATACAGTGTTCATTTTTAATCTGCAAAAATTCAATACATAATTAGCAACTCCATCTCTAATCTATTAAAGATACATTTCTTTAGAGTTTCAGTTAGCATACAAAAAGGTTGACTATTTCATTGACATAGAGCCTATTCTGAATCCAAACTTAGGTAATTTGCCCAGTCCCAAGTGAAGCAAAGAATGCATGGGATATCCACAAAGAGTCTATTTCACACACCTATATATCTAGCCAATGATTCCAAGCTTTCTGAAAAATCTTAGTTCTCAGTCTATAATGAGTTCTTCATTGGTGGGGGAGTGTGAAGTAGTACATTCACAACTATAAGAAAATAGTCCCAGTAGTGTATTGCTGAGTCATACATGCTCAAGGGGAAATAGTCAGAAGTGTCTGCAAGCAGAAGAAGAATCAGTTTCTAGAGGGACACAAGAGAGCAATGCCTGAATCTAGTTTAGAATTTCATCCTGCTCCAGTATTCTCTATTTGTTTCATATTTTCCAAAGATTTGGTAGTTAGACAAAATTACATCTCATGAAAATTAAGTAAGTATTCTATAGCGCATCTTCAATGGGAGTTTATTTTTGTAAAAATCAAGAAATAGTGTCGTTGGCAGGAGTGGTTTAACCCAGAACTTCTAGTTCTAAAAAAATATGAGTCTGGTTAACAGAAATATAGTAGA